TCCAATGCCAGAAATGGCTTGAAATCGATGTTAATCCGGCTTCTGGGTGCAGCAGACGACGGCCTAAAATCGATTTTAAGCTGCCTGTGTACGGCATTTCAGGAAGATTAACACCGATTTTAGGACGCTCGACTTGGTAGGCTCGGAATGGATTTGAAGCCACGAAATCTGAAAGCTAGCTAGCTTGAGTTCGATGTTAACCCGGCCGTTAAGTGGCAAGGGCTACAACACTTCTGAAGCTGCTGAACGAAACAACAGCTTACAACCAACGTAATTCAGCTTTTTGTCTTTTGGCGGGAGCTGGCAGCTTAAACTCAACTCTAATCCAGCCCATGCAAATGATGGTTGGGCTGGATTGGAATCGATGTCAGCTGCTGGGTGTAGCACTGGCAAAAAAAGGGAGTAAATTTGGTTTCGCTCCAGCCAGAAGATCCACAAAGGCAAGCCTTAGGAATGGTGTGGAATTGACTTTAATCTGAAGTTAAAACCGAATTGCAGCCGTTCAAGGCGAAAGACCTGAGACAGCCCTGCGACGGCATGTTGTCTCAAGCTATGCGCTTCTCTGCTGTCGTCTGTGGCCAGGGTTGAGCATCAGGACAGATGACATTAGGCATGGTGTCATGTTGCGACTGAGTGTCACACCTCATCGACTGTCGCCAGTATGCTGTGGCATTGACGTGGGTTGTAATCACAACCGGGCTGGCATCTCCAAGTGCCTCAAGGAAGCTTTGACAAGCCCTGCGCGCCTTATAGGGCTCAAAGACGGTGAAGCTGGTCCTAGGTTTCGGGGGGGCTTCGGGTGGTGCAGGATTCCACATTTAGGAACACCGTAAAAAAGAGCTGACGCACCAGGAGATTCGAGGTGCGTGTGTGCGTAAGGAAGGAGGCTTTCTTGTTAAAACCCTTACGCCCCAAACCAGAAGTTGAGGAGTTCCATTTTTTCGCGTCAGTTTCTTACCTTTTCTGGGGGGCGAGGTCGAAACACCACGTCAACCTAGTTGGATTGATTCATTTTGCTTTCTTTCCCTGCGAACATACCAAGCCACGAGGCTTAAAATTCAGGGTTCAGGGTTTCAAAATCGGGTTGGGGCCAGGGTAACAAAAAACTTGGGGGGTTCGAAATCAGAAAGAATAGCTCGACACCTAAGCGGAAACCTCAGGCAACCCATCGGTTCAACCCCCGAAGCCCTGCAGAAATCTCAGGCTGGTCGCCCCAAACCCGAAACCCGAAACCCCCTGAACCCGAAACCCAAAGCCCCTGAGTCGCCCTCTAAGCCTCAGCGTCCGAGTCCTGTTAGCTTGCAGTGTCACTCGGTCGGGTTCAAGGTTCACTTCTCCGCTGGCGCCAGGGGAGCTCTAAACCCCTAAGCCTGGCCAACCTAAAGCCTCCACAAAAGAAGCCAAGTGTCGCGGAGTACGGTACGACTCGCAGGAGAGTGGCGCCGTGCCCTCTCCAAAGACCAGGAACCTCGTGGGGGCGTTGAGTGCGTTAGAGACTTTGAAATGCCCACCCCGATGTCACTGCAGAGCTTTAAGGGCTTCTCGTTAGTGCTATCCAGTGCCGGGATGATGAAGTAGGGTTTCTTTGAGGGCCTCTAGACCCTTAGATTATCCAAGTATGTTGGGGCAGAACGTGCTCAGGCCTTCAAGCACTTGTGACTAGTGACCTTCGGCCGGCCTCAAGGTAACTTGCAGGCTTGCAGGGTATCGCATGCTTGGACCCGTGGCAGCATGGCTTTGTGTGCCAGCATGCTTACGTTCCATGAGATCTGCGGGGGTCCTGCCTACGTACTCGTGACGAGCAAACCTTCGCTGTAAAGGAATGACGGGTGGGTAGCACATGCAAAGCGCCAAGAGAAACCGGGGCCGCAACCCATTTGATGGCTTTGCGCATCCAAAAACAACATGTCAGGCTGATGTGCATGCTCGAAACATCGACCCAATCGACTAATTTGTGCTGCTGAAATTCTTCTGTGACCTGCCTGGGCAAGCTCATACGGGAGTTTCGGGTTTCAGGACCCTTGGAACTCCTAAACCCAAAGCCCTCGTCAGCCGAGCTGCGCCCTCTGAGCTGTGGATCTCCTTCCTGGCAACAAGTTGCAAACCCTCTGTGTAGGGGGGGCTGCCAAATGTATAACATGCTACAGAGCCCTGGGAAGTGGCTCCTGTATATGACCATCAAACAAAAGGCAAGTCACAAGAAATACATCAATATCTGGACATCACATCAACAAACGGAATCACCATCAACAAAAGGACATCTGTAGCTGTAAGAGCAGGAGTAGTGGCAGCAGTAGCAAAGTAGTAGAAGCAGTCGTCCTCCTCCTCATCGTCGCAATAATATTTGTTGTAAAACTTACCGCTTAATAGTTAATAGTTAAGAAAAAGTAAAAGGGAACAGCTTCTTGTTTGTAGCTAAAAGTTAAAAGTTGAGAGTTAATTGTTAATGGTTAATAGGTTAGGTGAATAAGTTAATAGCTTGATAGTCATGCTAACGGTATTAAGAATAGTAATACTACTAGATACTTCTCGTAGTCGTAAAAGTTATCGTACCAATAAATAGTAATCAGTCACCGGTTATTAGAAACTGTTAGTAATGAGATTTAGAATTAGTAGTTTGCAGTTAGTAATGCATAATTTCTACCTAGCAATAGAGTATCAGTAGTAGTAATGGTATTGCTCAGAATCATAATAAGTAGTAAATGGTAATAGTCATTATAGTCATAGTAATAGAAATCGTCGTAGTCGCAGCAATAGGAATAGAATAGAGTCGCCATAGTCGTCAGCGTCGCCGCCATCGCAGTAATCCTCGTAGTAGCAGTCGTCATAGTAGTCGTTGATAGCGCCGCTTGAGAAGCTTCACAGCTTAAAACTCAGTGACTCAGGGATGCTGGAAATAAGCACTCTTGTTTAAGAACTGGGCGGTTTCGCATTTAAGGGATCGAACCCCGAACATGGAGCCCACAAGCCTCAGTAAGCCGCTTCACAAGTTTAAGGCCAGTGTTGAACCAAATAGATCCTTGGAGGTTGGGGATTGCGTTTACTGCAGGGCTTCGGCATGCTTGGAGGCATCACAGGTGCGGTGACGCGGTGAATTGTCACGCTACACCCAATCTGGCCCTGCGCAGACCCCACGAACTTGTTGGCCCATAGTAAAGAACCCTAACCCCAAACTTCCACATCAAAGTCCAACGCATCCGGTCTAGGACCAACCAACCAAGCATAGCAAATTGGCAGGAATCGTTTCAAGAATGGCGGCTTTGAGTGGCCACTTGCTCTGTGGTGCTTGCATTATGGCGCAAGGTTTTCCGGTCTTGGCTTTAGGACTGCCGTGAAACTCTAAAAATCATGTGGTGGAATAACTGAATGGGGCCGGGCAGCAATCTGAAGACCACATCTCGCCAGGAGAAAATCCGACTCTTGTCTGTCTGGTACATGATCTTGACCCGGTCCTTTCAATGTGACAGGCAGAGAGTCAATTCGCGAACCGATGCGTGCAGCTATTTCACGAAGCCAGAAGATGCGGCCAACTTGCCAGAATCGCCCAAGAAGCCCCCAAGCCCCAAAGTCTCACAAACCTCCGTGGTAAGCTAAGATGCTAAGGTTCTTATACAACACATACAAACCCTTGCGCCCGTGCAATGCAAATCGCAGCAAAGTAGCCAAAGGTGCGATCACAGTTTTGGCCTCGGGTTGGCACTCGGAAGCTTGGGTCGAAATAGCTGGTTTTGGCAGCGTAGGTAGGGGCGACGTTTTTGGGGAGGACAGGGGACATGGTAGTGGCCACAGGCTTCTTTGAGTTCATGTCCACGGAAGAGCAGCTGAGCTGCCACTGCCCCAGCTGCTCCGCCAATAACCAAGCTCTCCACGGCACTGAGCCTTTGTCTTGGTTACAGCTGCACTGCTTCTGCGGTATAAGGATGTAGGAGGACTCATTTGTTTCAAGAAAATTTGCTACGTAGTCGGGGTCAGAGTCATGCATGGTCCTTGGGCTAAAATTCTCTTCGGGTTTTCACACTGCGCGAGAACTGTTATTTTCGACACCGCAGAACAAGTCCAAGGTCAGGCTTCTCGTCAGCCAGCGCATCTTACAATGGCTGACCGTGCCAAGCTTTCCTGCTCTGAGCTACAGGGTGCAACGTGCACCATAAGTCGGCATTGCCAAAGATGGGGGATTGGGTGTGCGCCAAAACAGTACATAGTCATAAGCTGGGTGGCGAATGTGATATGTGTGGGGACCGGGCCAGGGGCGTTGAGTGTCTTCAGTGTGTTCTAGGAAGGCGCGGCCAAGAAATTTCACGAAGAAGGATGAAGCTCGAGAAGCTAGAAACTTTGTTGGCGGGAATAGGAGGGGGGGTCTTCATATGGAAGTTAACTAAGCCCACAGAGTGGCAGTTTCGTTGTAGGGGAGATCATTGAGAAGCGGATTTGTGGGAGTCAGCGCGCAAAACCGAACATGCCGGTTTTATGGCTATTTGCCAGGTTTTCGACAGGTGACATGCCGACTCTATCGCAGTGTATACTCTGATCGACAGTGGCGGTTTTCCTGATGCATCGTTTGACTCGGCCCTCCCACACTCGCGCGAGAACACATGTAGAATGCTACTCCCAAAGCAATCCTAAGTCCTGAGCTTGTAAATGGCACCCTTCTTGCTTCGTGGGGCTTCTGCGCAGCAGCGCCATCTGTCACGTGACCACGGCCAGGAAGTGCCACGTATTGGTCATGCCTCTTTTGGCTGATGGTTCGGGTAAAACATGAAGAGCGATATCGCCCGCGACAGCAATGGCTCTCTCGCAGCCAGGATGCTCGTCTGAGGCCCGTCGCTTGTGCAGAACACCTTGGAAATCGAGCAAATGCGCGATCAGGAGCAACCCTTTTGGAAAAATGCCTCCCATCCATACTGCATCACCAAGCACTAACCCGAAAATCCTCTACCCCAGGGCAAAACCTTCAGCCCCGAATCCGCGAACCGCTCACCAGACTTTGTGACTTGTGAAGCTCAGAAGCCCTTGAGCATGTCGTTCACCCCGAAAGCCAGGCCCACCGTCAAAGGCCCCTTCAGCCACACAATGGAGGCACCTGCAGGGCTTCTGGGGGGAAGGTTCCGGGGATCTCCAGGAAGGGGGGGGGGGGCGAAGAATGCTTCTTTGGACTTGGGCTTAGGGCTTTTAGGGTCTGGGCTCAGGGTTAGGGCTTAGGGGCTTCAGACAAGGCTACTTAGCGCGGCTCGATAGATGCAGCTACTCGCGCATGCTTCACGTTCGACTTCTGGCTGACCAGATTAAGAGTCCAAGAAGGTCTGCGTTAGAATGGCTGACATGAGGGCACCAGTTGGGATTCCGCGCAAACCCGACTGATCCTGTCTCCTTGTGCAAAACAACCAAAGCCCCACTGAGTCAAGCAGAAAATATCTGGTGCGTCATGCAAATCCTCATGATACTGGGCATCTCTGGCACTAGCCCGCTCCAAAAGCAAAACAATAGTCCCCCAATGTGCCTCGGTAGAGGGCGACAAGGCCTTCTGTCGTGTGGATCTGCCGAAACGTGTCCCTGCGCGTGGAAAAGATTTCGGGGCCTATCACCTCTGCCTCTCGTGCGTCACCGAAAGCAGAACTCCATATTAGGAAGGGTGATCGTCGACCCTGCCGGTAAGCCCAAGGGCCCTGCGGCCCTGATGCCGTAAAGCCGACAACCTCACGCAAGTCCGCTTCGGTAGCCACTTGACAGCACCCTGCAAACCTGATGTTGGCATAGGCCAGTGATCCTTGTGCGCCAAGCTCCTTGCGAAGAGTGCCCGGGCAGGGTTTGGCGCACCAAGGTTTAAGAACTTGGGCAGAACTTGGGGCTTTGGGGTTGTGCGTTCGTCCCTGCGAATTACGCCGCTTATCATGTGCCAAAAGCTACGAGCACAGATACCCAAAAGCCGAATCCCGCAAAATCCTTCAATTTACAGCCCTGACTGCAACCCAAATGGCCTTCTTGAGCCTGGAAACCCCAGCTTGAAGAACCAAGGCCGTACATCTGCAAGACCGCAAAACCGAAAGCCCGCAAAACCACAGGGCCAAACCTTAGCTGGTCAGTTGTCTTTGGGTGCTGGTCTCCAAGGAGGCCTTTGAATAAGCAGCAGCTTGCAAAGAAACAACGCAATTCCAAACAGACCACAAACAGCACGGCAACACCCAGTAGCTCCTCCGGGTAAGGCAGCTGCATCCTCCGCCGGACCGTCTGGATCCTTATGGCTGGCGAGAGTGAAGAATGCGTTGCTGAGCCCCCTACACCCTGAACCCTACACCCTAAACCCTACACCCTAAACCCCAAACCCTACACCCTAAACCCTAACCCCCTCCCCCTCCCAATTCACAAAAGTCCCGACATTGTCGCGCCATCTATAGGGGCGAGTGGGCAAACGAGCCGAGGCGCGGGTAGGAGAGCAGCTGGGCCGAGGCTCCGCTCAGGCTGCCCGCGGCCAGCAGATGATGCAAGGGCACCTGAAGGTTTGGGGTTTAGGGGTTTAGGGGTTTAGGGTTTAGGGGTTTAGGGTTTAGGGGTTTAGGGTTTAGGGTTTAGGGTTTAGGGGTTACCTGAGTAATTCGGGTTATTTTCGGTGGGCTTTTTGGGATGCTCTGCAGGGTGTGCAGGGTTCGCAATCTTTGAGGGCTAATGTGGGACATTCGGACTTTCAGCGAGGGTTTGTAGTCCGGAGCACAATTTTTAATACCAGTCAAAATTGCCTTCAAAACTGCTCGCTAACTCTGCGTTGCATGCGGTCAATACAGGCAGAATCAATGAATGATCCAGTGGATGATGTAGTTAGGCTTCGTCTTGCATCCGGCAGCTCTTCTGATCTTGCAAGCAAGAGCACGTCCGAGTCACTGGACACACCTTGGCAGTGATTCGGTGGGTACGGTGTATGGGCTGGCACGCTGCTACTGCCATGTGGGCAAATCAGCAGCAAGACCTGAGAGCTCGGGTTCATGGTCCGAGTTTTCGCAATGTGCACTCCAAACCCAATGTCCTTGTTTCTTGATCACTATGCTCAACTCGTCCGAACCCCAAGGCCCTAAAGCCATCAGAAGTCTTAGGTCTCCTTAGGTCTGGAAGAGAAGCCGAAGAACGATCAGAAATGCCTCCAAGACACCATGCCATTGCCGCAGCTTGCCTGGATTGGAGACCGTCTAAGATACCCCATAACTCCACAACCAAGGGCCCAGAAGGCCATGAATCTCAAACCCTGAAGGCCCCCCAAAAGAACTCTAAGCTCGCCCTCAACTTCGAAGGCCGAAAAGTCGACAAAAAAGCCCAAGGCTCCTTTGGAGAACTCAAAGGCGGAGAAGGAGAGAGCCCCGTAGGGACCGATGCCCAGAAGCGTTGGGGAGAGGCCCCGGAAAAGGCCTCCCCGAAACGATTGTGGGGATCATGGGGAACTATGGGGAACTATGGGGAACTATGGGGAATTATGGGGAATTATGGGGAATTATGGGGAATTATGGGGATCATGCGCGCTTTGGGGTGCTTTTGGGGATGAGGGTCCCGATGATGTCCGTGTTCGGAGAAAGGTTTCCACAGCCCTTCCCAAGGCTCAAAGGGTTGGTGCGAAGGCCTCGAAAGCCTTCAATCTGAAGGATTCCGTGCACGGCGGATGAGTAGTTTCCTCAGAGTCCCGGTGTTGGGTTTTGGTCCACGCCGCCCAAAACAAAGGCAGCCGTACTATAGGGGCCTTAATGATTGGTGTGGGGTTTTGGGGGGCAACCATGAAGGGACCACAAGGCAATACTGTTGGTAATTAAATTACCCAGGTTCAAACTCACAAGGGCAGAGAATCAACACGGGATCGAGTTTCTGTACCGCGGCACTGCTTCCAGATGGCCGGCAATGCGTGTTCGTATGACATCCAAAGGATACGTGGCGATGGTGGCAGACACCGCAGCAGATGCCCCGGCACAGGCCGGAATCCAGAATGGTGCGAAGGGTGACCTTTGGTGTCACTGCTAAGGCACGAGAGTTGCCAAGATTAGTCGCGATTAGCGCTGCTCATCTCGTCTTCCACAGCAAAGAAAATGAGAACAAGATCTGAAGACCAGAGCCCCAGGGACTCCTTTGCTTCAGGTAGCCTCGCCAGACGCTTCTGCATGGTTTCCTTGGCTTCCGATGCTCGGAGGCAGCTATAGGGTTGGGCGGTTTGGGGTTGGGGGATTGGGTAATCCTGTCCTCAGCTCCAGCTTGGACATTTCGGGTGTGTGGGGTATAGATAGGCTGGCTGGATAGGGTGGCTGCGAAGGAGCTGCAGGCCACTGGCCAGAAGGAAGAAAAAGGTGTACTGCTGTGGCTAGCTTCAAACATGAGGAACTGAACGCCAGCGAAGGGCACCACACGATAAACCGTTGCCATGTGGCCATACCTGAACTGAGACTTTGGGTTTCATGGGCTGAGAGCCTTTCTGTGTCCTTGCCCCTTGCGTATGCTTCAACCTTCAACATCTTGCACTAAAAGCGGGGTCTGGGCACCACAGCCCCTGTGGTCCCGCCAGGCGTGCGATGTCCCGAGCCAGCTGAAGGGCACAGCGAAAGCTGTAGACCTTGGAGGGGGTGACCTGGTAGATCAGCTTCACCCGGTCCAACGGGGCAGTGACGGTCTTGGCAACGACTCCTTCTGGCTCTTACCACAACTTGGGTTTAGGGGCTAGCTTAGAAATTTTGGGGTTTAGGATTGCCCACTCAGCTTTGCGCGTGTTGCCGACTTCGACTGGTTCCAATTATGCGACACAGAAATCCTGATCCAGCCCATAAAGCAAGAAACCTGTTTAAGACCACCTCCATGGCTTGAGCCCGAAAGCTCAACAAACACGCTCGCCCTCCGAGCAGTCCGCCAAAAAAGCGCAAACATGAAATCTCGAGGAGGGCCTGCGATGGAGCCGACCACCAAGAGCTCTAAGGGGCTCAGCTCCGCCTCGCCCGTCACCTGCGGGGTTTTCACGTGGGGGTCTCCAACTTTCGAGTTCATGACCAAGTGGCGAGTACGTCTTCCTTTGCCTTTCCATGACTACACGGATCATTGCCTAGCTTTGGAGGACCGATGTGTTCGGTCCCGCTGCGTGTCGTGGCGCTGAAACTTGCGTGCCTCGGCTATTCTTCTTCTCAAGTGACAACCCTCTTTGCGCACGCGGTGTGTCGCGGGCCCTGCAACCTGTGCAGCACACGTTTGCTTTTCAAATCAAGAGCGAAGAAGCTCGGTCCATGCGGCACGCCTGGCGAAGTTCTAGTACCCTCCACACGGAGACAACGTTGCGATCACTTGAAATTGTTGAAGGTTTCTTGCTTCCACGTGGACAAGCACTGTGCGATCCCACATGATTTGCGAGGTTTTTGCGTGGTCCATGTGGATGCAACATTGCATAGAGGCAAACGTTGCACTCCAACGTGGCTTGCCAGCTTAGCATATGTTCCACCGTCGTACTACAATACACTCTGGACGTCTTCCGTGCACTACAAAAGGCCACTTTCGAGCTCCCAAAGCTCAGGACGCGCTCCGCGTTCTACGTTCGTGCCACAACAAAATTGCGCCCTTTTCCGTATATCTTCGAAATGCATTTCCAAATCTCGCAACTCCATAACGAGAGTATACGAAGCGTAGAACTTGAACAACACTTGAAATCAGCGGACAAAACATTATTCAATTGTCAAGTGCAAAGTGTAATCGAAAATAGCAGCAGGCCCTCAGGACATCACATCTTTTCAGTGGATTTTGTGGTTGGAACAGGCCCCACCAGAGCACCCAGCCCGGCAGCGGGGGCGGCCGCATCTGCCTTGCATGGCCGGAAGGATTATGAGAGAACCCTCTGTGCTTGAGATCTTGGAGTTCAGATGCTTTGTTTTGAGCTTGTCTTAAGTTTTAAGAATCGAACTCCAAGTCTTGTTTCAAGGGAGAACTGAAGGCCTGAGCCTTTCCCTCTCTCCACCCCCGCTCGCACCTGGAAGGCAGGGTAGGGCCTGGAACTCTTCACCGGCGCAGTGTGCATGCCATTCTGGAAACCCATGGTGGAACATGAACGCCGGGTGATGCAAGTTCGGTGGGTCTGTAGGACCTCTGTGGGATCCAGAGGGTTTACGGTAAATAACACCTTGGTTTACGGGGCCAGTATGGGCCTCGCCTAGAGTCTGTAAAGCTTGGTTGTGTGGAGCAGCTCGTGGCCGCAGCAAGGTGGGTTGCAGCAAGCGTCTGCACAGTCCAACCTCAAATGTTTCTGAGTGTCGCATGTTGCCTGTTGAGTTTTTTAATTCTTCCTGAGAGGTAGCGCGAAGTGGAGCCATGAAAAGGATCCCTTCCCCTCTACCCCCCACGCGCCCTGAGCCCTAACTCCTCAAATGCATGCGCGCCTTTGCGCTTTTGCAAGGGTTCTTGACGGCTAGGCATCTGCATAGCTGGACTGGGAGTTTAGGAGAGGTTCCAGACAGGACCCCGACAAAAGGCAGTTTGGATGCCCAGTACATAGGCCGGTTCAGCACTAGGAGTTTGGGCCAAACACCCGAAAGCCTTAACGTTTCAACTCTAGGGAGCTTATGTGGGGTTGGGGTGTGGTTTAGGGCGCCAAGGGTCACAACAAACCAGACACAAATCTCTGGAACGCTAGGCATTCCGGGTTGGGTGGAGAGTCAAACCTGGCAAGGAATTGTTCGAAGCTTGCAAAAAGAAAACCCTCCTAAGACGATCCTTCCGCTTTTTTGGCACACCCCCCTCTGGCGATCTAGAAGGGCGTCAGCTTCCGCAAAGGGTGGCCCTGACCAAGGGGGGCTCTTTGACAGGGCTTCAGGTTCAGAGGGGCTTTGTTTTTTCCGGGGGGGGGGGGGTTCGTGTAGCGCTTCTGGCGGCGCTGGTCACCAGGGACCGTGAAAGGCTCAAGGATGTCGGGAAGGAGTAGAGGGTCCACTCCGCTTCAACCAAGCAAACACTGCTTTGCATAAGTGGCTTCAGCAACTCTCGCACGCATAGTACGTAGACGCAAGTAGCCTAAAAGTTTCCGCGCCGTCAGACAAGGCCAAGCGTGCTCCGAAACCCTAAAGTTTTAGGAATTCTTGCAAAGCCCTCTCGAGTCCTGAGTCAAGCGTGCAGCCCTCAACCTGAAAGCCCTCACATGTCTGCATCAGCTCACCAGGCTTTGGTGAGCCTAATGGGGCGCTGAGGGTTGCTGGGGCAAAATATTCTAGGAATCACCTCCGTGCCTTCCAGGTTTAGGGCCCAGCCTCCGTGTTCAGAATGTAACGGTCCAAATCAAAGACCTGCGCCGCCGCATGCCCCGAACCCGAAATCCAAGCTCCTCTGGTCAGCGATGCTTTGGGCGCCAGGTTGAATCTTCAGAAAAGCAACGAAGCACTGCTCTATGGCTTGGGGCTGTCGAGTTCAGGGGGTTGCGGGGAATTTAGGGCAGCTTCGGTCGACCTCAAGTTATGCCCATTCTACAGCCCGGCGAAGATCGACAAGTGCTTCGGATCACGTTCCTATGGTCGTTAAAGGTCCTTTGCTGCTTACACCTGGGGAAAGGAATGAACACCCAAGCACCTCGACTCATGAAACATTAATCCCACCGCACCAATTTCCTGAAACCTCTACAGTGCTCCGAAACTGTGCCAAGGACCCGGGCCCCACCTCAGCAGGCGAGAACAACAAATACAGATACTTGAATGTCTCAGCCATCACGAAACTTTGCATCTCATCCATCTTCTTCGTGGGCAGGACGGTCACATCCTGTAAAGAGCAAGGCGCCAAGCAGTGCCAAAGCCGTGCCAAGCTCCGAAAGCCCCCTTACACCCTGAAGCTGTACATTGGGTCTGCGGGCGCGCTTGGACGGCTATTGGATAGCTGGCTCAGCTCCATGTTTGACTGCTCTTGAACTGCGCGAAATGCTTGTAACTGACTCAGAGTCGGGATGCTCAGTGTTGTTTGAGCCGTGGTAGACTTGCAGGGCCCACTGTGAGCTGAGCCTCGCCCTTCTTCGAAACTTCAAGGTGTTCAGGCTCAGGGCTTTCGGTTTGAAGTTTTCCAAAAAAGAACCCAAAAACCCTGGAGGTAAAGCACGCACCTGGACAGAGCCGTACCCGCCGTCGACTTTGCTGTTCTCCACGATGGACCGGAAAAGCTTCTTGCCCCACTTCCGGTATCTCCTCGGCAAAAAAAAGGTGTCAGGAGTTGCGGTTCGACTCTGTGCCTCGCCAGCCTCTCGCCTCTAACAGGCATCCTGAGAGGGGTCCCTGAACCCTGCCGCGATTCTAGAAGTGTAGCCTGAAGCCCTACAGAACCCTGGAGTCTCCTTCACTACGACCCAGTTGGCTAATACGATGCTTCAAACCTTTAATGGGATAGGTGACCAGGATCGGAAGTGAAACCGTCCTTCTCAGGACATGCTGCAAGCGCTCTTGGCGCCTTTTGGCTTCCCGGCTGAGATGGCTCTTGCGGTGGCTGGCTTCTTGGATTTGTGATTTTTTCGGCTTCGAAGCAGAACTCTGAGCACTAAGCCCCAAGCCTCAGCCTGAAACCTATGAGCACCACCACATCCTGATGTTTCATGCAGAACCCAAACCGCCCAAGGCCAAGTTGCGCATGTCCCGTCATCCGGTACAAGTAGAAGAGTGACTCAGCAGTCTCTGGCCGAAGGTACCTTGGGTCGAGGGTTTGGGTGGTGGGCTTCAAGGTGGCTCGTCTCACCCGCTTGAAAGAGAGACGCCTTTGGGTTCAAGACTGGGGGCTAAAGACCCTCAGGACTTGGTTCAAAGAGGTACAGATTGGCAGCCATGTTGCGAATGCTGCGCGCCTCGAGGGACAGTCTTCTTGCCGCTACCCTGCTTGTCGAAGAAGACCTGAAAAAGGCAGCTGTCTTGGCTTGAGGAGCTCTGGAGTTCTCACCGATGCGACACCACTCTTCTGGAAAACGAAGCCCTAGATGAAGCAAGCCAAGCAAGACTCCGAAACCCTGAGTCGTACATGCTTGGGCTTGGTAGGCCAATGGTTCCAGACGTACCTGGAGAAACCTTTTCGAAAACCGAAACCGTTAAGCTGCTCGGGTTGTTGAACAAAAACCGCCAACCCTCAGCAAGCCCAGTCCGTATCAAAGCTGCGCTTCTTAGACTCTCTTATATGGGGGTTTACGAAAATCAGGGACCCAAAATAATGGAATTCCCTTAGCCCCCGTGTAGGGTACCCCTAATTTCGTACACCCCCCATAGAATCACCCCCCTGTTTTCCTGCATTTTGGGGCACCCGACCCACTCGGGTGCGAGACCACTCTGCGTGTCCATCCAGAGGTGCGCGCAGGTCGAGGTCCTTTTAACTCGAGTCTAGAGTCTGAATGGGGTGCCTTATTGGGGTCCTTAGACAAAGAGAATCCTACTATTTGGGGGTCTATATTAGAGGTCCCTTGTTTTCGGAATGTTAGTTGTGCCATTTTGAGCTTAAGGTTGGGAACAGCTGTAAGCATTTTGTGGATCGGCGTCTAGATTTCAGTTCTCGGGGGTTCCATGATCTGAAGCAGGACGAAGGGGCATAAACTGAAACCACAAAGTGGCAAACACACCCGCAACTCTCAGACTGCCTCAAGATGCTCCAGAGGCGGTATGTTCAACTGAAAGGGCTATGGGCGTGTCTTCATGGTTGTTTGAGTTTTTCGATTTGTTTGTGGCTTGATTTAGTGCTTCTATCGGTTGAAGGTGACTTCGTAGTTAGAGTGAGTTGTGTTGCAACTGGGGGGGGGGGGGGGGGGGCAACAAAAAGGGAAGGGGGAAAAACAAACACAATTGGCCATGGTGCCTAACTGTGCCTACCAGGGTCTTGCTTTTTGAGAGCCAAGGCCTGGAGTCCTTAAGCCAGTCTCGAAAGAATGGGAAATGCCCCACTCCTTTTTCAAAGGTTACACGATGGGGAGGCGGGGTTTTGAAGGCGGAGGGCGTTGGGGTAGCAACCTGTAGACACTGGCCTGAAACATCCGGAAGCCCGGAAATCGAACACGGATCACATGAGCTTTCTGGGCCCTTGGACCCCCTATGATCATTATGTATCGTCATAGACTCCCCGTTCCGTTGCCCACAACCTGAGGACGGGACAAGCCGGTAGCCATGCGATGCCAAGTGTCCTTGACAGCACTCTCTTCTGAATAACGGCTTGGGTACATCTGACCCCTTTTTTTGCTGTTCCTGCCGAGGTGAACTCCACACAAAAGTCTACCTCCCCTGAATCTCCGTGAGCCCCGAGACCGGCAACGCGTCGAAACCCTCACCTGCACCAGCGACCGACAGGAGCCTTTTTTTGGAGGGGTGAAACTCTAAATGTCATGCGCATCGTCTGCTGAGCTATGGCAAGTCCACCGTACCAGGCTGGTTTTTCTTGTAAGGCACGAGTTCCTCCTAACCTGGGCAAAGTGCATTGCGGCCGTTCTTCAGCAGCTCATCCTCTGGCATGCTGCGCAGCCCGAGGGCTATCATTCCAGGCCTCAGAAGTCCAAGGCTAGTCAGAGATAGGCGCTCTGAGCGGCCACCGAGATTTGCTATGCATGTGCCCGGTAGATGCCTCTGAGAAAACAGTACGCTGCCTTGAGCTTGCTGGTCTCAAAGTTGATTTTTTTGGTACGCAAGGAAGGGGCAGCCCGGAAATCGCCATAAAAAACCCTCCAGCAAGCGCAGGGCCCTTATGGGCGTAGCTTGAAGCCTGAAAACCAAAAGGCTCTCAGGGATCCGAGCACCTCCTTGACTGAAAAAGCGGAGCAAGGCGGTGCCGGACTGACCTTGAAGCTCTACCCTGGGGATGTTTCCCCCTTCTACTCAACAGTCCTTAGTAGGGAGTATAGGACTCCCAATTAGAATCCCCATTAAGGACTGTTGAGTAGAAGGGGGAACATCCCAACTCTACCCTCTATTGGATTCGAGAGCCGAGGCCCCAGCACGAAGCAGCTCAGGTGATCCATCTTCCAAATGCGGCCTGGCTGGGACCCGATAGCCGAAAGCCGTGCAGGCCACAAAGCCTCCAACAGCCTCTAAGAACTACTGGTGCAAGCCCGGGTTCCTAAAGCGTAAGAAATCCCAACTGGCCGAGACCTGGCTTTGGGTTCGAGGGTTCCTGTTCGACAAAGGATGACAAAAGCCGCACCAATGCAGAAGTGGCGTAACTCTTCTTTTGGGGAGTTCTGACTGTAAACATCTTGGTGAGTTGTGAATGATGGCCTCCTTGGCTGTCTTTCTCCGTGAGCTGGAGTTTGACATTGCCTCCGAGACGAGAGGGAAAGGCAGTTGCTTCTGTTGATTCGCTCGAGATTTGAGGGTTTTGTCGAGTTCCACCAGGTCAGCGGTACTTAGCTGCCCTCACTGCCTTCAGTTCTCTCTTTCAAGATCTTTCAAAGTAGCGCTTAGCTGGGCCTTGAGCTCAGCTTGGGGCAACAGAGCAGTCCGGCAGTCCTTCGTGTCCTTCGCTCCTGGGATCTGGAACCACCAGCGAAGGCAGGGCATCCATGACGGCGAGCCTGGCGAGATCAGTCGCCCAACACCAGACAGCAACGTCATCCAGAAGTACACTGCATTCGTCATGTTCCTGTTGCTCCTTCTTCTTCTTCTTCTTCTGCTTCTGGAATGCACGTGAGCAAATGCACTGCGCGTGCCAACTTCGCTAACAAGCATACGGTCAGCCTGAATGCGAACCCGAAGGTGACTTTTCCGTGGCAGACTGGGGCTACAGCAGGAAAGCCCTGAGCCAACGACACCGAATACGCTTTCAAGAACCTTGGAGTGGCACCGCCGTCCTCCAAAAACATTCGAAACACCCGAAAACGACTTGAAAAGGCGTAGCAGCTTGAATGCGTCGGGTTCCCGTATTGCTTCCGCGGCGGCGACTGAGAAACATACTGGTGACTTAGGGTCAGAAGTGCTGGACTGTAAGCTACACTATAAGATTAGTAACAGTAAGCATCCAAGCAAACTATGAGAAACCTGAGAACCCTACACCACCTGCACAGCTGTTAGACACCACTCCGAAAAGCCGTTTTTTGCAGAAGAGGCACCAGGCATCACGATGCTGCGTTTCCTCCGGGCTCTGGAGCCACTGCTTCAACAGATACTCCTGAGCAGCAAGTGGCCTTCTTTTGACTCAGACTTTCGGCTCAAGGACGCAAAAGCGGCTCAAGAAAACCCCCATGTTTTCGGCCCCTGCCAAAGTGTCAAGCAGGGGGACTGACCGAGGTCTGCAAAGTACAAACCTCAACTCCAGAGCCTCAACCCCTGAGCTCGTCCCAGCAACCCTAAGCAACCTGACCACTTTAGAGCTGAGCACTGAAATGAGGCTGTCGCGTAGTAGGAGTCTGCCAGGGCACCCATGGCAAGCCTGGCCGCTTAGCTTGGGCCGTCCACGTTTGAGAATTGCCCAGCTGGTGCTACCACGAAGCCTTTGCTGATTTGAAGCTTGTACTGGGGCTTCGTGTTGCAGGATAAGAAGGCTTACTCTATTTCAGTGACCTGAACTTCCTTGGCTTCTAGGACGGACAGTTGCCGAATCCTTGTCAGCATGGAGTACGGCGGGATGCTACTCGCAGCATCCTGTAAAGAGACAGATGTATGCATGCCATGTCACATCGATGCGGTCTGCTCGAGGCCCATGTTCCAGCTCCAATGGGACACATTTTTGGGGCTTTCAGAAGGGGATGCTTTGCCCAACAAAGTTGAACGTTTGCCGCAATGTTGTGCCTTCATGCTTCTCATCCGAAGCCTGAAGAAAATTGGAATATTGCCCTAAAGAGGAGTCAGAACCCAAACCCCAAACCTCTAGAACCCTGTAAGCCCTGACACCAAATTTCCTAGCACTCACGACAGGGTTCCCATCCTGTCGGGCATCAGCTGGGGAGTTCCGGCTTCTGCCGGGGTCAGGTGAACTGGAACGAGGCCATTGGCTCCTGGAAAAAGGGGGTCTGCTTGCTTCGCTTGCTTGCTTGTGGCCTGCTGCCCCTTTTGCAGCCCTAAATCCTCAGCCTGTATTGGAACACGTGGATGTCGGTTTAGTGATTGGGTTCGGGCCTCCAGAGAGCTGGTGGGGCCCTGAGTTCAGGATACTGTTCTGAGTTCTGAAATGTGCGGCACTTGGTACGAGGTTAGGTGCAGTGGTCGTTATGGCGATGAACTACTGACCTTGAGAACTCTGAACCCTCGAATCCTCAAACCTAACTTCGATATCCATGCATGGAAGCTTCACGGTAGCCTTAAAAATGGCCCTGCCAGTAGTGCTGCCTGCATCGCGGATCGCCTGAGAGGCTCGTTCTGCGGCCTGCAGTTACAGGAAGACGCTTCGAGGGCTTGGGTGTTGAGGGCTTTGCGGAGGCATGGGTTTGGAGCAATGGCCACAAACAAGTCGTGAAACGCTCAAGGCCCTGCATACTCGTTTCATGTTGGCACGCTCACTGCATGTTGCACAGGACATCCATCTTGACAGTTACCCTGATATAAGCGTGTTTTTGGTTGAGGCTCAGTGGCCCTCAGCCCTAGTGCAGAAACAAAATGTCAGTGTCGCCTCTCCCCAAGTCTCAGGCTGTCCTTCAACTATACAAACAGCATTGTGATTTTGTACAGATCCGCTCACAGTCCTTCATTTCAAAGCTGAGAAAAAGTGAAATTCTGCAGCGTCTGCAAAAGGCTGCGCAGACAATTGGCACGAACCGTGCTGAAATCAATGCATGTGACCAAGAACGGTGCAACAGCGACGTGTTCTTTGTGGGACGTAGTGTCTGTTGCACCTTTGACGACCTGTTGCACCTAAGCTTTTTGCGCGGTCATTAGGACTGAAGGAACTGACATCAATGTCTCCATGGGTTCAGGGCCAATTGCATGTCCATCACAAGCACTCCAGTCTTGGCAATATCAATGCAGGAAAAGTAGCTTAGGAACAGAGGCAAAAACATGGAACTCAGTGCTGAACACACTTTTCTGGATGCCTGCATGCCAACCTACTCTCATACTCAAGCTCTCATGTGAGGCTGAAACTTGGAAGAACCCCTCCACAAACTAAACACAATGTCGTAACTCTTGGCACAATATCCAGGTCACGAGTACATGCGCAATTGACAAACAACAACCGGCACGATGCCAGGCAAACCTTTAGGAGACCTTGTGTGCCAAGTCTCCAGACACAAGTCGCAAGCCCGCATCAACACAAAACGCCGCCAACAGCCTACATCACCCGCCAGCCTTGCTGTAGCGCAGGTCCCCCGTGACTGCAGACAAGTAACCTGACTCAGATCAAGGCTTGCGGGGGAAAAACAATGCTCCTGTGACGGGCTTGGAAGGTAGCAGAGGTGTTTTTGCAGCAAGTCCTCTCGACGGCCTGATTCAATGTTCTTACAAGTGAGCTTGCCTGGCTTAGAAAGGCGGGGGTTTTGAGGGCAGGGAGGGCGGCTAGTTTGAGAGCACGCCGAAGTTTCCAGGGTACGCAGATAGAGAGCCGCTGAAGCGCAAAGGCCCAAACCAACTTTCATACCCCACTCAAAACCCCCCCCCCCCGCAACTCACAGAGTCCAAGGTTCCGTCCCACAGAAAACAGCTGTGACACTTGAAGCCCGCAACCCAAGGATCCAATGTTATGCGTTAAAAAAGCCCGAAAATTCTGCTGGCAAAGCAGCGGAACTCCAGTTGGAAGCTCCCGGCCTTCCAGCGCATGGATTCGAGGCGTCGAGGCTCAGGGGGGGCTTGGCCAGAAAGAGGGAACCCATCCCTAAACCCTAAACCCTAAACCCTAAACCCTAAACCCTAAACCCTAAACCCTAAACCCTAAACCCTAAACCCTAAACCCTAAACCCTAAACCCTAAAATGTCAATGGGTTCGTGTACGGTTTACGTAGTTTACGGCTTCAATTGGGCTTTAAGAATTGGGGTTGGCAGGCTCAGCATGAAGGCTACGCCAGAAGCTTCTGGCACCCCTGCGCACAATGACAAGAGAAGCAGAGTAAGCCAAGCATCTCGGGCTTTAGGGCAAGGCGCAGCGTGCTTCGAATCAGCTCCGGGACCTTGAGCCCAAAACCCCTGAAGCAGAATCATCTAAGTTAGTTCATTGTTGAGATAGTATAGAAAATATACTTTCTACTACTTCTTGAGTTCAAGTACCCTTAGAAGTCAAAAACATGTTTCCCCGCGATGGCAAAGTAAAGATGCCAACCAACAAAAAAAACCAAAAAAGGCGGCAAGCGCAAACAGCCTCGGCCAAGATCGTGGGCTCCTTGCGTGGATCGTAGGTTCCTTTGCCCTGCCCACGGGCAAGGTTCCACCTCCAAGTGGGACTCTTGCGGCTTTTGTGGGTTTCAGGTCCCTTTGCAGCGCTTGAGGCTTCGGGACTTGTTAAAAATGCAGGTGTTTGGGTGTGGTAGCCGTTTGGGATCCCAGAGTTTAGAGTCTAGGGTCTTGAGGTTCGCGAGAGCAGGCTCATAACAACTAAAGCCACTCGGCTTGGCATTCTGGACTGGACCCAAAGTAGCTGGGCACATGGACACCCTGCAAGACCTCCCCAACCCACCCTAAACCCTAAACCCTAAACTCTAAACCCTAAACCCTAAACCCTAAACCCTCAATCTTCAGCCCGAAGCCCTAAACCTAAGCCGCAAAGTTCTCTGGGAGGGAGTTCGCACTTTGGTCCCACAGAGGGCTCAGGGCTTCAGCGCTCAGCACTGCAGAACCTTCACCGACCGAAAACATAATCCTTAAGTTCCCTCTAGTTCCTTAACCCCTTAAGTTCCCTCTAGTTCCTTAGCCCCTTAAGTTCCCCCCTGGTTCCTTAAACACCCTTAAAAACCCCCTTGAAAACCCTCAAAACCCACTTAGCTTCCTTAACTTCCGCAGGCCTTGGCAGCGGCAGGCCGGAAGACGTGTTCAGCGCCGGGAGGATCCTGACAGGAGCCGCCGAAGGGCTCTGAAGATCTTTCCGAAGCCTTCAACTCCGATGCCCAGCGGGCTTGGGATGTTCCGTCCCCTATACTAACCAGTCCTTAGTAGGGATTATCATGGGGGTGCTAGAATCCCTATTAAGGACTGTTACTAGACATCCCAACTCATGGGCTTCCAGGAAGCTAGGGCTTGGGGTTTATGTTCAAAGTCCTGAGAGTCTGAGAGCCCTCAAACTTGAAGAAGCTTCTCAGGTCTCTCACTCTATGAAGCAATCTCCGAGGCCTTTCGGCCAGCTCGACCGCTCGCTCCAGGAAGATTTGCCTGACACAAGAAGCAAGAATCGGCTGCTCCAGATACTGCCCACGCTGGGCTAGCACAGCTAGAATTGAATTGAGGGGCGCGGTCACACGATTTCAACACACCGTGGCCCGCGTATTCACACAAAAAGAAGTCGCAGGAAATCAAGTGATCTTGTAGCCGACATTCTTCTGCTGCACTATATCTCTCCTGGAAGTTGAAAAAGAACGAGTGTAGGACTAGCTCACAAAGCGACGGCAGACACCGCACCTCAGCACAGGATCTTGTTTTGCAGCAATGAGCGTGAGCAGACTCGTAACCCCACACGGAGGCTTACGCTAGGAATGCTATGAACATCATTCGGTCGCCTCTCGTTAAAGGAGCCATGAGAGGCGACTCACGGCGCGTCAGCATTAGCCGTGCACGCCAGCGGGCCATTAACAGAAACTCTAGAGCCTGCCGCACCCTAAACCATCTTCAGCCTCTGAATCCGAGAGCCTTAAAGACCCAAAAGCCGCTAAACCATCCTCACACGACCTACACTACACGCTGGTCTCACATGGAAACCCTCAGAACCCTAAAACCTCTTGCAGCTTCATCTCCCCTCAGTCAACAGGACCATCGAAGTCCGACGTCGGAGAGTGGCGAGAGTTCGAGGCCGTACCAGCTTCGTGTGACCTTTTGGCTCTTTATCGCTTTAAGGCTTCAGAGGGTTCAGAGGGGTGAACGGCCTCAACAGCCCCAATTCCCACACCCGAAGAATTCCGCAGGGGGTTTCGAGCAGAGCCGAGCTTCAAAATACTTCGGGGGGCGGGGCTTGTTTCAACCTCCGTCAGACAACAGTTATAGCCTACCCCCCCCCGCCATGCCACCAGTTCGGCTAAGATCATGGGACGCTGGAATGCTGGCGTGCCCTTGGCGAGGCTGCCGGGGCCCAATCGCTGCTGTAACCCGCCGCAGAGCCCCAAAGCCTTCGATCCAGAACCCCGCTTCATCCCAAGCCCAGCGACTTCGGGCTCGGTTCGGAGTCAGGCTCCGCTTCCTTGCCCTTGGCCCAGCGCTCGGGGTCACCTTGTGGCTTGGGGTTCTTAGGGTTGCGGTCTCATTTTTTTTGTCACTGAATGGAAGGCGAGGTTCCGGGATGTCTGGATCTTTTGTGCTGTGGGAGTTTCATGCTTCGAGGCAGACGTCTAGGTCACAAGCCAGAAAAAAAACAAGCAAAACAACTCCTGCAACAACTTGGCCAACTTGTAGGAAGCTCTGTCAAGAAAGAGAGTACTATTTACAACAGAACAAAGCGAAAGAAAGCGTTGCAACAAAAAAGAAGCACACTTTTTCTACCCTTCCGGGGCACCACAACATGGGGGCGGACTCGGTGCAGGCGATGGCACCTGCGGAGTGCAGAAGCCCCCCCCCCCCCCAAGCCCCTCAGGGTTTAGGGTTTAGGGTTCAGGGTTCAGGGTTTAGGGTGCAGGGTTTAGGGCGCTTTTTCTTCAGTCTTGGCAGGGTAGAGAGTGTGGCCGATTGAAGACACATGAGGACCCTGCAAGCTTCATGACATGATCTTGCTCAGCCGTTGGAAGCCGTTGATCTGGGGTTTGGGCGCTTCGCCTCCTGGTGTTGAGTGGGGGACTGAACTCTGCGCTCACCTGTATGCAGATCGGAGTAAACCCTAAACCCTAAACCCTAAACCCTAAACCCTAAACCCTACACCCTAAACCCTAAAACCCTAAAACCCAACCCCTAAACCTACGGCTGGACCTGGCATGGCTGATCCTCCTCGCGGGACGGGTACCTTCAAGCGGAGCTTAGAGGCTTAGAGGCTTAGAGGCTCTGTGAGAGCTTAGCTTTGGGGAGGATCTAGGGCAGGGCCTGTGTCAGTCTTAGTCTTAGTGTCTTTTCGCAGATTACAGCGGTCTGGAACAGTTGAAGAGCGGAAGGTTTGCGGGGCAATCGGCAGCGCGAGGTTTGCAGGTTTGTTCGGAAGCTGTTAGCATATGCCCTCCTGAAGAAACGCTTAGGCTGAAATAAGCCCAAAACAGACTTGCAGTGGTTTTGTAGCCCTAAACCCTAAACCCTAAACCCTAAAGCGTCTTTGGAGATCCTGAAAGGCTGAATGCCAAGGCCCCTGTTCCGCCCTGTTCCGCCCTGTTCGCCTCCTGTCGGCAATCTCGTCGTCCAGGCGATGGTCCCTCAAAGGCCCGAAGCCAACAAACAATACTTGTTTGAGATCCAGGGTTCGAGGTGTTGAGGATCTTAGTCCTGAGCTGAACCCCCCCCACCCTAAACCCCAGACTTTTTGGCCCAGCTGTGCCAGGATTTTGTGTTTGGGTTCTAGGGCCCCTATGGCAGCTCTGGGAAGGGAATGCGGCAGGGACAGCAGGGCTTGGACTCGGAGTTGAGAAACGTGGGCTAGGGTTTAGGGTTTAGGGTTTAGGGTTTAGGGTTTAGGGTTTAGGGTTTAGGGTTTAGGGTTTAGGGTTTAGGGTTTAGGGTTTAGGGTTTAGGGTTTAGGGTTTAGGGTTTGGGGTTTGGGGTTTAGGGTTTAGGGCTCAAGTTTCAATGGGTTTACAGGAGCTCAAGGCTGTTGACGGCCTTCGACTCCACCTGCGGATCCAAGGTCTTTGGAACGCAAAGCACTCGAGATCCCTCCAAGGCGCGAGATCCCCACAACTTGCAAATGCTCGCAGAGGCCCAACATGGTCGCTCTTGGCATTGCACCCGCAGTTCCAAGCCCTGAATCCCACATTAAACGCCTGCAGGGCTTGGGTTTCTTCAGGTTCTGTGCCTCTAGGGCCCGCCTTTGAGTTTCGGGCCCGAAGGACGCTCAGGGGAAAGGCATCTTCGGCTGAGTCCCAAGCTGAGAGAAGGAGACGGTGCCCTGCCACAGAGCTTCTTGTGGTTTTCAAGGCTTCCGGGTGGCACCCTGGGCTTTAAGGCCTTGCGATGGAACGCCTTATAGCCCCCACTCCCAAGCATGCAACGCACACACAGCAATCAACATCTCGTTGTTTGGCCTTTCACCTGAAAGGAGGGCCACCCTGGTCGGGATAGGGCGCTGACACATCCATCCTCCTTTCCTACGAGCTGCGCTTCGCAAAAACTTTGAACTCACATCGCACACCCCCCCCCCTCAACCAAACAACAACCGAAAAGGAGAGTTCAGGGAGTTTTGCAACTCCCTTTGTTGAGTCCAGTCCGGCTCTGAACATGATTCGGGGTAGGGTTCAGGGTTGAGGGTTGAGGTTTCAGGGTTTCAGGGTTTAGGGTAAGGCCTACAACCACGGCTCTAGGGAAAGCGTATGTGAGGGCTTCACTTCCGCGGCTTGGCCTCCGCAGCGATGCCTCCAAGCAGGCTCTTGCTCTTCTACTCAGCGTGCTTCAAGCATGTTTGCATGCTGGAGACATAGCGGCCCGAACTTCGAGCCGCAAACAGAAACAGAGAGTCAGTCTTGGGGTTCTGGGTACCATCGGCTGAGGGGGGGATGAGTTTAGGGACCCCAGGCTTTGTGTGGCACGCATGGCGTGTGCTGGGCTGTACGACTCTGCAACCCACCGACCCTCAGGCCCCAAGACTGGCGCTGCTGTCGGCCCTTGGATGCAAAAGCGCCAAAAACACGTAGGAGGATTAAACCCTAAGCCCTCCACCCTAAACCCTACAACCCCAAAATCCCCAAAAACCCCAAAGCCCTAGAACCCTACAACCCTAAACCCTAAACCTAAACCCTAAACCCTAAACCCTAAACCCTAAACCCTAAACCCTAAAGATTTTTGGGGGGCCCCCCAAGCCCAAGGCCCCGAGCCGCCACCTGAATCGCTATTGGCCACCACCAGGAGATCGCAGAAGGCGGCCCCATCCGCAGGAAGTGCGAAGCTGCGAGACTCTGCCTGTTGCGAAGCAGCTTAGGGTTTAGGGTTTGGGGTTTTTGGGGTTTTTGGGGTTTGGGGTTTTTGGGGGTTTGGGGTTTTTGGGGGTTTGGGGGTTTGGGGGTTTGGGGGTTTGGGGGTTTGGGGGTTTGGGGTTTGGGGGTTTGGGGTACAGCTGGCAGGAGGCAGGCACCACGGTCGGAGCTACAGTTGCCAGGGCTTTGAGCTCCAGCCATCTGCAAGGTCATATGGAGCTTAGTGCTTCGGGCCTTCGGGCTCAAGCTTGAAAACTTAAGGTGGTTGCTTTTTCCAGGTCAGGGGTTCTTGGATTTTTTCCTCGACCGGGTTTTTGGTGGCCTTGGTCTCCTCCTCCAGAGAAAATGTCCAGAGAATCCCGTGCAGAGTACCCTGTGCCCACCCACCCCAGAGAAGCCAGAGTATTCCGCCAGGTGTTTTCGCAGAACACGCAGAGACTCCCACAGAGTGTCCCGCAGTATCAGTGCTCATCACAGAATCCCGCAGACATTCTTGCAGTGGCAGAAGAGCTGAACCTGACAGAGTATCCCTGGCGTGTCTGGAGCCGCAAAGAATACCACAAAGCATCCTAAGAAATCACAAATCACAATCCAGATTTGTTGTCAAATGGCTTGTTCTTAGGGTGTCAAAATTTCACTCCCGCCTAGGCGCGCGCTTGGCTACTGGATTCGGGGCGACGGTTTTCAGAATGTTTGACGTCGTCTGACGTGACAAATCGCGCTCTCACCTTCTCACCTAAGTTCAAATCGCGACGGTACCGCGCATGTTTTGAGGCTGGATCGCTCCGTGTCACGAGAGCTTTCCTGCCTGGCTGTATAGAGTGAAGACAATCCTAAGCCCGAAGCCCAGCCATACTTCGGGCGTGTAAGGGTAGCGGCCTTTGTGCTCAAACCTGTGCATCCAAAGCCCTGGACAAGGCAATGTCTTGCAGTTGCGGCCCCACTAAGAAAGCCCGAAATTGCGCTTGAACTAACAAAAGGGCTTGTTTTTCATTATGGGCCAATTCTGGTCTCTAAACTGTAAGGTACCAGAACCGAGATCCCCAAAAAGGCCCATCGTTTTGAACAGCCTGCAATCCTCCCTTACTTACAACTCTGAACCTCTGCAAGCCAAGAAATGGC